ATCTTTGAAAGTATTTGGAGGGAAGACATACAAAACAATTTAGAACATACAAATCAGGTTTATGAAAAGTAGGCTATGGTGAATTAACATGAGCAGTTTCTATGAGGTAGAACATATAAATCTGTTGGTAAAGCTATTGATTTGATAATACAGTACATTTATTACACTACCTCATAATATGTTGACAGAAGTTGAGGATAGAAGGATGAGGTAAGGACATTTGTACATGCTAAAAAAAAAAAAGATAGAAATGAAATAAGACAAAAGATAACAGAACAGGGTCTAAATAAGTGAAGGTTAGCAGTGATGTCCCGGAGGGATCAGATTCTCTGCCAAGAGTCAGGATGACTTTTTCTAATTAAAGACTTAACACCTAAATATTTTGGCAATTAAAGTATATTAGAAAATGTCATGTCTTTCATCAAACTGACTGATGAATAAGATATTTCAAAAGTGCCATTTTCAAAAGAGACCGTTTTTATGAGTTTGGAGATGGCATTTCTAGTATGGAAGGCATCCAATTCACATTGAAATTCACTTAAAGTGTTGGCCGTCACCCCTTTCTTTGGCAGACAATTTTAAAAACTGCCAATTATTACAGAGAAGTTCCATTTTTATCTTAGTGACAAAATGTTTATTCTTGAAGTCCCCTTGTGACTTGCACAGCCATTGAAATGAAACATACTAAAATGTACGTGTGCAAAATGTGAGAATTAATTAACCCCTTCACACAGGCGCCTCCCGGCCCTTTAAGGGTTCCAGAAACCAGGAGGCGGGGCGGGATTTAGAGTCATGTGACCGCCATTACACGCCATCACGGCGGTCACATGATCGGGAAAGGTCCCGATCGAAAGAGGAGATCGGGACCTTTCAGTGAGTCCCGGACATGTGTGCTGGGGAGCGCGCAGGGCGCGCGCTCTCGGCACCTATGTCCTTTTTTAATAGAATGCAAATGTGCGGCCGCTCGGTGTGCAGCCGGCGTGAACAGGTTAAAGTGTTTGTTCACCCATGTCAGAAGTCTTCCAAGCAAAATAGGTAAGTTACAAGCTTTGACGCATGAAGAGAATATGATTTAACTGGTATTGCTAAATCTTGACTTTATTCTTCACATGATTGGGCCATTAATATTCCTGGCTATGTTCTCTTTTGTAGAGACAGGGCAAAAAGGAAAGGTGGTGGAGTCTGTCTGTATGTGAGAAATGATCTCAAAGCGAACGTGAAGGAGGACCTGGTTGATAGAGAGTGTGATGAAGCTGAAGCATTGTAGGTGGAACTACACATGGGTGTGCGTACTACAAAGGTAATCATTGGAATTTGTTATATACCACCCAGTGTTAATGAAGAGGTGGAGACTCAGCTCCTTGCATAGATTGAAAGGGCTGCAAGGGCTGGGTCAGTGAATAATAATGGAGGGTTTTAACTACCCAGAAGTTGACTGGAGTAATTGCAGTGCAGGAACAGTTAAAGGGCAAACATTTATAAACCCATTACAAGACAATCTCATGGTACAGTTCATAGAGGCTCCAACTAGGAATGATGCTCTGCTGGATCTGGTAATCTCAAACAATACAGAGCTTATTACTAATGTTCATATAAAAGAACATCTGGGTAGCCATGACCATAACATGATTTCATTTAATGTTAGCTGTAAACAACAAGCATGTGAAAGAGAAAAACACTCAACTTTAAGAGAGCAAATTTTCCAAGGATGAGGGCTGCTCTCCAAGACTTAGACTGGGAGGGTATATTGGCACTGATGAACACTTAATAGAAATGGGAGTTCTTTAAAAAGACTGTATGAAAAACACACTGCAAAATATATTCTCATAGGCAACAAGTTTCAAAGGAAAAAAATAAGACCTCTGTGGCTTACTGCCAAAGTTTAAAGAAGCTATAAATAATAAGAAAAGAGCTTTTAAAAAATATAAAAATGAAGGAACACTATCTTGTTTAAATAATACACAGAATATAACAGAATATGTAAAAACTAAATAGAGGGTGCAGAAATTGAAAACAAACAACAGATTGCAACAGATAGCAGGGCAAACCCTCAAAAACTATTCAAATATATTAACCATTTAACCAGATATACTGCTACAGGGTGGCCGTGCTGTGCAGAATCACTTATATAAACATGATACTGCACTTCCTGGTCATGGGTGCACATGCGTGCGGCTGGCATGCAGCTTTTGCTGTGATTGGTCACAGTAGAAGCCGATCAGCAGGTGCTGGCCAATGGATGAGCACCAGCACCCACCAATCATCTAGGAAACCCTCAGAACACAGCTCTGCCTATGTGTCCTGTCAGTGGCAATGTGCTGGATTCTCTTTCCCTGAGAATCCAGCACATTATACAGTGAAAACAGCACACACAGTAAACTTTACACATAGCTAGGCACACTAGTGTCATTAGTACAGTTTCAGTGCATATTTTTAGCACTGATCATTGTATTAGTGTCACTGGTTCCCAGAAAGTGCCAGTTAGTGTCCGACTGTCCACCGCAACATCGCAGTCCCGCTATAATGAACGCAGCCATTACTAGTATAAAAAAAAAAATTTCAGTATACATGCCATAGTTTGTAGATGCTATAACATTTGCGCACATCAATCAATTAAACAGTTATTGTGATTTTTTTTACCAAACATATGTAGCAGAATTCATATTGGCCTAAATTTATGAAGCAATTACATTTTTTTATTGGATAAGTTTTATAGCAGATAGTAAAAAATATTGGGGGTTTTTTAGCTCTTTTTTTGTTTATCACGCAAAAAATAAAAGACACAGAGGTGATCAATGACCATTTGTTCGGAAAAAAATGACATGAATTTCATTTATGTACAGTATTACATGACCGCACAATTGTCAGTTAAAATACCACAGTACCGTATCACAAAAAATGACCTGGTCAGGAAGGGTGGTAAATCTTCTGGAGGTCAAGTTGTTAATAGTAAAAAGTTCAGGTCCGAGCATGTAGGCCTTTTACAAAAAATTGTAGAGTGGTGACTGGGGACAAGGAGCAGGCAAATTTATTAAATACCTTCTTCAGCTCTGTGTATACAAAGGAGCATGGGGGAGCTTTTGTCCATAATGGGCATGGTATTGACACAGCCCCAAATGATCCACAATGGCTCAAAATTGATTTGGTCCAAAACTATTTAGACAAAATAAAGGTGAATAAAGCAACTGGACTGGATGGCATACACCCTGTCATTTCAAAGCCATTGTTTCTAATTTTTAGGGACTCTTTAATGACTGGCATAGTACCACTGGATTGGCGTAAGATCACTGTGGTGCCAATATTTAAAAAGGGATCAGAATCTTTACCAAGTAATTCTAGACCTGTTAGTTTAACATCTATAGTTGGGAAGATACGGGAGAGTTTAATAAAATAAAAATATTTTAAGCAACACACAGAATGGATTCATGAAAGACAGAAGGGGTGGCGGTGGACGTGGTATACTTGGACAGAGGGGTGGCGGTGGATGTAGTATACTTGGACAGAGGGGTGGCGGTGGACGTGGTATACTTGGACAGAGGGGTGGCTGTGGACTTGGTATACTTGGACAGAGGGGTGGCGGTGGATGTAGTATACTTGGACAGAGGGGTGGCGGTGGACATGGTATACTTGGACAGAGGGGTGGCGGTGGATGTGGTATACTTGGACAGAGGGGTGGCGGTGGACATGGTATACTTGGATTTTGCAAAAGCGTTTGATACAGTTCCCCACACACGGCTAATGTATAACGTAAATTCTACAGGCTTGGAAAAATCAGTTTGTAAATGGATAGAAAACTGGCTAAAAGATGGTATTCAGAGAGTAGTGGTTAATGATCCATACTCTGAATGGTCTAGGGTTGTTAGTGGTGTACCCCAAGGTTCAGTGGTAATATTTTTATAAATGATGTAGGATCTAAGATGAAAAGAAACATTTTTTTTTTCAACAAGTTTCTTTATTAGGAAATAAAAAAGGCTGGTAAACATTTAAAGTGACAACTTTGGAATGTCCCAAATCTGGTATCTCTTGTTAGTGGTAATTATGCCTCTCAGGACAAAAATGTAAGTATGTAATGCCATAAGGAAGTGCATTGGTATGTCTAGATAAGAATTTTTCCTTTATTTATTACCATGCAAACACTACAGACGCAAATCCAACTTCATTGCTGTGGAAGACATGAGCAATACACTGATACAGATGCAATTTTCAGAAAGTATAACACAACAGTTAAAATAATGGCTTTAATTTCAGTTAAAGAATACAGTACAGAAAGAAATATGCTTTACTTAAAATGTACATCAAACCAGTGATGTGGTAGAGTCAAGGGGGTTCTTTCTAAGTATTGATAATAGCTATACATGTGTGGACCTGATGGTAAAAGAAAAAGTTCACAGTGGTTTGTATAAACAGGATACAAATTATAGCTGTGACATTCCTAGTCTGACCAGCCCCTGAGTGCCATCTTTAAGTACTAAAGTAGTAAACAAGCATTTACAAATAATGTGAATTGTACAAAGCTACATGAATAATGAAGATAAAGATCGGAGTGTACAGTGATAGGCGTAAAAAAGGAAACCATATTGAAGCAACAGAATAAGTTTGATATTCAGATTGAAAGGAAATAACAGAAAATAGTAAGCATTGTAGCAAATACATTTCTTTAAAAGAAAAAGCAAAAATTAAAAAAAATGAGCCACCTACATCTAAATGGATGAACAGACCAGTACAAGTTACACAATTTAAAATAAAAAAAAGTGATTATATACTATAATACAGCTCCAAGCAGGCCCAGAGACCCTCATTTTTTCGCCTGCTTTGTGATCGTGCCTTGTGATGGCGTTACTGGTTTGCTTGCATTGGGCTTCTTTTTCTCTGCAGGTTTTAAAATCTGGAAGGAGCACATTAATGTTTCATCTACACTCATCATTGCTCCTGCATTGTCAAACTCTCCACAGTAGTTTGGGGCTGAGAAAAGTGTTACCAGCTGCCGCTTGGCAAAAAATTCATATTCTCTCTTCAACTACCTGATGAGCTCGACAAATGAGATCCAGATCATGTTTGTGAAGGAACTTTGCCACAACTTCTGTCCCAAAAGTAAACGATACACCCCAGTCATTTTCACCCCAGCCTAACACGTCAGGGTCAGACCAAAACCAGTCACAGAGAAGACCCTGGTTTGGAATATCAGTAGGACACATAATTTTCCTGATTTGTTCCATTGATTGAAGGTCAGGTGATAAACCTCCATGACAGCAAAAAATCTTCTCATCTACTATGGCAGTTATTGGCAAGCAATTGAAGCAGTCTGTAAAGGTTTTCCATAATTTAATGTTATGCCTTCTTTTACATTCATCATAAAAGCCATAGATTCTGTTAATGCTAGCACACTCATGATTTCCTCGAAGAAGAAAGAAATTCTTTGTATACTTTATTTTGTATGTCAGAAATAGACAAATAGTTTTCAAGGACTGTTTCCCTTGATCCAGATAATCTCTGAGAAACAAGTAGTTGCTTTCTAGGGGAAATCCACCATATTCGAAGAGATGTAGCAGATCATAATATTGTCACCACAAATTTTAAGAGGTGCTTCAAGTTCCAATAAAATTAGCTGGCTAAGAAAGATTTCGCGAAACTTCAGACATAATCATCTAATTTCATTCTCTTGAAGTTGAACATTTTTTCCAGGCTTCGATCCTCTTACTTCTAGCAGCTGCTGGATGATGCTGTCAATGTTCAGTTTGTCAACATCTGCCATGACTTCCAAAGAGTAGACGTGTGCGCAGAGAGACGGGGCTAGAGTGGCGTACAGGAAAGAAAGAGAAAGTGGAAAAAGAGAAAGAGGGGAAAAAAAGGGCTGCTGGCTCAGGGTTCTTAGGCTAAGCCTTCACCCTGCTTCTATTACAGACTCCGAGCACACAACAAAATGGCGACGCCGCCTGAAGGTAAAAACCTTCAACCTTTACAACCACTTTAAGGGGATACTATTGTAGTTTACATTGTATTAAACTGATTTTTAAAAATTCTTTTATATTTTTACTTCACAAATAAACATAATACCATAATTATGGGTGCACCAATTCCAGCATTCTGTATTCTCCAATGATAAATCTCAGCAGCAGTTGTTCCCTTTGTTGGTATGTCTCATTTTGAATTACGTCCAAAGCCATATGAAATAATCAGTGAGGGAGGAATTATATCCTTACTTTGATTAATTCAGCTGTATATGTAATTTAGGGTTCCACATGGTGAACTTGTGAAATGGAGTCTAGAGCTCTACCTGCAGTCTGAAAATGATAAGTATGAAATAATTTATCATTGAGTATGAAATCACTTTTACAATATTTCCTTGTATAGAAAATATATTCAAAACAATATTCACTCTTTTTAGTAAAAGCTGAACTATGGTGAAAACATAAAACCCCCTTGCTCCCTGTACACTGCAAGGGCTAAATGCTCATTAATGCCTAGGGTACCAGTAAAAAGGACTTACCTTTGCCCTTGCTCCCTTCTACTGTAAGACTGGCCCCCACAATTCAATAGTAATTTCTTCCATACATTTAAATCAGTCCAAAGTTAAAATATATGACCCTACTTATACAACAGCCCACAGTTGGACGCTGCTTCCATGATGACAATTACGTAAGATGCTGGGCAATGGGTTAAGTCCTTTTATGGAAAGTGGTTATGTTCTACCTACAGACGTGGAATGAGTATGGTAGAGATAAGTGCATTCTTTGTACCAATGAAAGCCTTTCATTGGGTAATACAAGAGGGAAATAGTAATTACAGCACACAACTAGGAGGTTCATTGATTCCATCACTGATGTGAATCAGAATCATCTTTATTTGCAGCTTAACTCAACAAAAGCATAGTGCAGAATGTGTTTTCAGTTTTTTGGATGTTGTAGGACACAGATCTTTATCCATAACTGGAGATTCAGATTAAGCTTCAACTTTACCCCATTTTTGGAGACTTAAAAAAGAGGTACAGTGAGAAAGCCAGTCACCACAATCATACTCTAGCTGTATCAGAACTTTTGGTCCCTACTTTTGGGAGCTATAGATAGATTCTCCTATTCTTCTTCCATTTATCCCATACCTATTTAAAAGATATACATCGATTTAGACTACAAATATATGCGTTCAATGGTGTGGAGACTAAAAAGTAGACTTTTAAGGACCACTATAGCAAAAAATATTGTGAAGGCAACTGTATGGTGGTTGGTGCCTATAATGATGGTATTTAGTATTTTTTTAGTATATGACTTTTATTTTTCTCCGTATTTACATGCAGACCAATCTGTCCAACAAAAGTAACAGATAGGGCCCATTCACACCCCCATAGACGCGCACAGGTGCCATTGATTGTTAATGGCACAAAAAATTTAGCTAACATAAATGTTCATGTTAAAGCCACCAAATAGTATAGTACCATGTGGTTTGATGTGGTTCATTTTTAAAAGTCGCATCTGCTGTACCTATTGTGTGTTTCCACATGTTTGGCAGCTCATTGAAATTAATGGGCTGGTAAAAATGCATATGTTCCAATGTGATCTGGACCTTGCAGTGTTAGACAACATTTAACAATTCCAGGGGTGTTTACAGTGGTCAGTGTTTATTAATTTCTCCAAACAAAATAACAAAAAAGTTTGTGGGACTGCTTAAACAGTGTTAAAGTGGTAGTAGATTTAACATTGGAACTTTGCTGCATTAAAATCCCTAACAATTAATGAATATGGTGCTATTTCTACATTTTTCTAACCTTTGCTGTTCTGTTGCAATCAAGGCAGGATCAATTCCATGACATCACCAGCACATGTGCACATCTGCCGCTATTTGTGGCATGTTCTTTGTGGCGTCAGTCTGTCCTGGCCGATGGGGTGCTTCCATCATCTACTCTCTGTGGTATTGCACTGCAATCCCGCAAGAGTACAACTCTGTGCACAGCTTCTTGAAACGCTCAATGCACATGTGCGAGATTTAGCCCATTTACAGCAAGAAAGGACAGAAGTGTTATACTGAAAAGATGCGGAAGAGAACAGTAGCAATGGCGCCAGCTTCAGAAGGGAGGCACGTACAGCAAAATAATCAGCAAAACAGTAAGAAGGAACTGAGGGGTTTTTTTTTATACACGGTGGAATGATATAAAAGGGTCATGTGTAGTGGACATTTTCTGTTTCTTTAGTACTTTGCCTAAGTTTACTACCGATTTAAATGGAGTCAGGCTTAAATGTGTTGCTTATCTAACGATACAAACATTTCCATATGCTCCTTGTTGCAAAGGCCAGTTATAGGTTGTCGTGGTTGCCATTTGTTTGTATTATTTTTGTTTGTTTGTATCATTTGTTTGTTTTATTTTTCTTAGATTGTAAGCTCCAAGGAGCAGGGCCCTCCTAACCCTCTTGTGCACTGAGCAAACTGTTGGCGCTATATAAATCCTGTATAATAATAATAATAATAATAATGGAATTGGTGCAGGGATGCAGTGGACACTTTAGCTGCCAATGTGCTATTGCTGGAGGTCCAGTGCGTCTCTATACCTTTAAGGAGGGGTGGGCTCCCTCCAGGCATTCCTGGCCTTAATCTATCCATTATTATATATGTGCTCCAACTCAAGACAAGAGACTCTTAAAATATATAGAGTTAGAACTGCAGTACACTGGGGAGCCGTGATGTGGTCGTTGCAGCTTACGCATATATTTGCAAATGTGTGCAAACTAAACCCCTTGTTTTAACTTTAACTGTTAGACAGGGTTAATATTTTTTTTTGCAGGCTGGCTGGTAAGTGAGTTGGGAATTTCTGTTGTTTTTTGAAACGCGTCGCACTTTCATGTGCTCCTTGCTGAAAAGGCCAGTTAAAGGTTGGGGCGGTTGCCATTTCTTTATTATTGTTGAATTGGCGAGGGGACGTACTGGATACCTTTGCTGCCCTTGATCCCTCCAGGCATACTTCAACTCAGGACAGGAGAGTCTCAAAATTTATAGAGTTCGGACTGCAGTACACTGATGTGCCATGATGTGGCTGCTTCAGCTTACGCTTATATTTACAAATGTGTTAAACTAAACCCTGTTCCAAATTATTATGCAAATGATAATTTTCTCATTTACCTAAATAATTGATGTAAATAACAGTCGGCATAATTCTCATGTTATCAACTATTAAGAGTACAATTCAAATTTTATTGAACAAACCTCCTAATGATAACAGTATTTTTTTTTAAACATAAAACACTTACAATGCACTGTTCCAAATTATTACGCACAGTAAGTTTCAAAACACTTTATAGGTTGTAAAGAACTGAAAATTGGCATTTGTTGCGTTTGCAGCATATTTACTGAAATCAAAAGCTATTTCAATCAAACTTTTAACAACATTTTAACTTTTTAAACATTTTAACAGGTCACGTTACATTTTAACATAGGACCCCTTATTTGATAGCAGCTTCACAAGTCTTGCATCCATTAAATTTGTGAGTTTTTGGACAGTTTCTGCTGAATTTGTTTGCAAGATGTCAGAATAGCCTCCCAGAGCTGCTGTTTGGATGTAAACTGCCTTCCACCCTCATAGATCTTTTGCTTGAGGATGCTCCAAAGGTTCTCAATAGGATTGAGGTCAGGGGAGGATGGAGGCCACACCATGACTTTCTCTCCTTTTATCCCCATAGCAGCCATTGATGCAGAGGTATTCTTTGCAGATGATTTTATTACGGAAAGCAAAGTTCTTCCTTCTGTACCAGGGAAGAAAGTGGTCAGTCATAAACTCCACATACTTTGCAGAGGTCATCTTTACACCTTCGGGGACCCTAAAGGGGCTGACCAGCTCTGTTCCCATGATTCCGGCCCAAAACATGACTCCACCACCGCCTTGCTGATGTCGCAGCCTTGTTGGAACAGGGTGGCCGTCCACCAACCATCCACTACTCCATCCATCTAGACCATCCAGGGTTGCACGGCACTCATCAGTGAACAGGACTGTTTGAAAATTAGTCTTCATGTATTTTTCTGCCCAATGCAGCCGTTTCTGCTTGTGAGCATTGGTTAGTGGTGGCCGAATAGAAGGTTTATGCACAGTTGCAAGACTCTAGAGAACTCTACACCTTGATGTCCGTGGGACTCCAGAGGCACCAGCAGCTTCAAATATCTGTTTGCTGCTATGTAATGGTATTTTAGCAGCTGCTGTCTTGATCCGATGCATGGATCTGGCAGAAATCTTCCTCAATGTGCCTTTATCTGCACGAACCCATCTGTGCTCTGAATCGGCCACAAATCTCTTAATAGTGCGATGATCACGTTTAAGTTTTCGTGAAATATCTAATGTTTTAATACCTCGTCCAAGGCATTGAACTATTTCACTCTTTTCGGCAGAGATCCTTTTTCTTCCCCATATTGCTTGAAAATGGTGCTCTGCTTAATAATGTGGAACACCGTCCTTTAATAGTTTTTCCTTAAATTGGGCTCACCTGCCAATCTAATTATCACAGGTGTCCAAGATTGTTTTCAGTGATCAAAAGAACCCTGACACACAATGCCATCCATGAGTTAAACTGAAAAACAAAATATTTAA